GACGATTTTCGAAACCGAAATCGCGGCAGTCCCTGATGCGGCTGTTGCCGTTGTTGCTGCATGCTGCTGCTGCTGCTCCTCGCTTCTATTCTTCCTCTTGCCAATTTTCTATTTTTGCTCTTGTCCTTCCTTTCCTTCTGCAATTCGGAGTGATCGATCGCGCCATTTGGCTCGCGATCTCGCGATGATCGGCGAGATAAAGGGATGATAAAAAATATGTAATTTCCATTGCTTTATTAATGTGCAGGATACGAGAGATTATATTTACGTAATCAATTTTAGGAGATTATTGCGCCGCGCGCCTTGTCGCGATTCCTTTTTCTTTATTTGGGCGCATCGATTACCGGGGATATCGTTCGTTGCAAATAGTTTAAGGCAACGCCGAGGTACTTGGCTAATTTAGCTAATTTAGATGGAACTTTTTTTGCAGGCGCGTCGCCGTTTTCCAATTAGCGTTAGCATCTAATGATAAGATACGGGTACTTTCATCGATGCGTCCCGTTGCGTCGCCAGACGGTAGCGGATTCGCAATTAAGATATTAAAGGAACACTTCTCTTCCGTGGGTTTACGTAATCATAGCCGGGTGTAATTACGTATTTACATAATTACATATATGCCGTACTCGTTTACGGCACCCTAATGAGATCGGTTGATAACAATCGATTTGTACATAGCGTACTTTCTGCATTTATCCACTTTTTAAACTTGTTTATCTTCGAGTTAAGTGCAATGATTACCAACCATAAATCGGTATGCATCGAATTTTATAATCTTACATTTTCGTACAATATCCTCGATTCCGACTGCTACCGATAATGCTATTGTGTGCAAGAAAGACTTACAATTAGGCAAGAAAATATTATTGTACTTAAATAAATATTGTCACCTTTTTATTATTTATCTATACATTTATTATTACTTAGCGATAAAATTGAAAAAATTTACAAACTGCGACGGATTTTCAGCGTGAGAAAAATTGTGCAAATGCGCCAAGCGAATTTTTCGAAAGCGGCATGTTCTGATTTTCGCAGACGCGGCTTGCATCGGCAAATGAGTTTCCTCGGAAAGGGGCAAGAACAAAGGAAGGAGGAAGACGCACTTGAAGAGGACACGGTAGAGTCGTTCCTCAGTATGCGTTCCGCGAGCGTTTTTTTCGGCCAGCCGGGCGAATTATTCGTACTTCGCGAGTTCTACGAGAATGTATATAAAAGTAGGCGCACTGAGGTATGGCTCGCTGCACCTTGGTTATGCGGAAAGGAAAGGCTCTTCTCTGACGAACGCTGACCGACCGACCGACCGCCGCGCAAGCGAACGCGCACACACAACTCACATGCAACTCGCTACTACATATACTGAAGGCCATCATTTTGTTCATCTTGTGTATATTCACACACACACACACACACACACACACACACACACGCGCACACACACACACACACACACACACACACACACACACGCGCGCGCGCGCGCGCGCGGCTAACGTTGCGACAGGTTACAAAGATGTGCACACTCGCAACGAGAATAAGATGCCATCACATGTGACCAAAACGGACAACGTGAGAAATAGTTATTACTAATTTTTACAACGTTGAAAATGGCTCAATGTGATGCCGAAATATTATCCGGAATATTATCTTGTAAAAATTAAAGTAAATTACTTTTAATCTATAAAATTACGTTGTACTCTCATAGCTCTTTAGTTACCACAATTTGTTAGTTTATTATCGAGAGCCTTAAGTTAATTTTTCTTTTTATTAAAAATTTAACTTAATAGTTTCCGAAACTTAGACTGGACCGCCAGATAGGTATGTTCATCGTTAAGAAAGTTAAATTTCAAACATTTTCCAAAAATATCTCCTTCGATTTCGTCATTGAGAAGGTAAGAATAATATAGTGTATAATTTAAAAAATAATATTTTTTTATGTAAATCGTGAAAACCTGTTTAATGGACAATAAAGTTATTATAATGTACGTATAATATAGTTAGAAAGGGATGAACTTTCAACCTAATAACCGCGAAAGCGAGCGTCGCTGCGAAAGACGAAAGAAATAATCGCTTCGCAGATAGAAGGCGCGGTACCAGGATAAAGGAAGCGATCGTTAATACGAGGTGTCTCCACTTTTATTACACCTCGGCAGCCCCGAGAAACTTCAATTATCGTTGGGTGACGGTCGACCTCGATGAGAGAATCTGAGATACAGACTTTGGCTGGAATCTTATATATAGAAAGAAACTGGAATAGAGTCCTTAATATATACTACGTTATACAACATCATTAGTACACTTTAACTTTTTATACATTTTTTATTTACAACACGATAAGTACAACATATCACTGATTATTACAGCATTACATAACGTTTACAACACTAATATATCGTGGCATTATTTTATGAGAAAAAATGAAAGCGTTGTCGAAATATTAGGGGAACACTTTTTTCAATCTGGTGCCGAAATTTTGTCGAGCCAAAAAATTCTGGTCGCGTCCGCGAGCGATTCTCTTGAGCATCTCCCAGTCGAGGCTCCGTAAGCGTCCATCCGCGACTGCGTCGGAAAGGCTCTTCCGCGTCGGCTAACTTAAAGCATCTCCAGCTTGCTTGTCGTCCGACAATTTCTCGTCGGCACGTGAGCGGACTGTGCAAAGTTTGCGGAGCGCGCGTTTGCAAACGCTCACGCGCGTTCGCTCGCCAGCAAGAGAAAGAGAGAGAAAGAGAGAGAGAGTTTCTATCGCTGGACCGCACGGAGGCAGGAGGTTACCGACGAAGCCGAGAGAGCCTCCAGAATAAGTATGCTCGGCTAATAAAACGCGTACGCGCGCGTCGTTACACACAGCGTTCGCTTTCCAAACAAACGCGCGGCTCTCGTCACCGCGCGCACTCGGAAACTCGTACCGACGGGATTTATCGCCGTACGGACGTCGGTCGTCGGACGTAAACGCGAACCGCGACGACGACGGCAACGACGATGACGTCGACGTCGAACGTCGTCTTATGACACGACACTAATCGAAGAAAAAGAAAAAGAGAAAGAGAGAGAGGGAGGGAGAGAGATTTATCTTTTATTTCTCGACATACAAAAAGCACCGGGCGATGTTAATAGACGTGCATGATGCTGCGGGGATAGTTATTACTATTGCCGAATGGGTCGGGTTAACGCGAGGATAAATCGCGATACTATTTTTACGGCGATGGGATCGCATATACGCGAGGTCGTCTTCGCGATCAACAGCTTGATCGTAAAGCACAAAACGCTCGTTTGAAATTTATTGAAACGAGCCTCCTTCCGTGCGTTCCACCGCGGAATGATGCACGATGGAGCGGATTGCCTCGCAGATTGCAATATTTTGAATCTTCTCTAAATACGATTCAACTGTTATTGAGGTATTGAATTTATTTCGTAAATAATGATAGCCATTTTCTTCTAACAATTTCTCCAAATTGCTGCAAGTGTACATTACTACGCGTGTCGTTAATGTCGTTATGCGAGTCAAAGGCGGCGAAATTACGCGGCTTGTCTACTTGGACGAATTTCTATTCACCTGCCGTGCGCGCGTATTGTCCGAACGTACAAAAGATCTGATTCGTTACGAATTCCATTGTGTTATCGGCTCCTTCTCTCCTCCGCCTTTCTTGAACCGCGCGCGATTATCGTCACGCGGACGATCGCCGAGGTACCTATAGTTTTGCTTTTCAATTATTCTCTGATTTATCCCCGACGTCTCCCGAACCGGAGCCGCGGGAGCTCAGCGCCCGCCGTGCCGACCCGTTAAAATGTCATTCGCGAGAGACGGGCTTATATAACGTAAAGGGAAACGCGTTATGGAAAGCAAAGGCCAGCAGACGATCCTTTGCGCTTTCTACCTTCGATCTTACTCTTACGATAATTACGTGTACCGTGTATACGTATACACACGTGCACGAACACGTGCATGCACCGTGTCGAACATACCCTATACACGCACTCGCGGTGTACAGTGCAATCCCATACTCCTACTCATAGCTCTTTAAGTGAATTTAAACTATAACAACGTCACTTTCTCGAGAAAGCAGTTTTGTATAGACTATCGTTACCACGTTAATTTCTAAAAGTAGGTATTCCTAATCGATTCTAAACAATTAGACAATGTATTATCACAAAATAAAAAAGGGAGATTAAAATAAGACAAATTGTGAATATATATTTAATTTTTATTTCTGTCTTGACACATGTTTATATATTTGGTATATTCGGATTACTATTAAACTGCTTGTTGTTATCCGAATTTGCGTATCAGGAACTCAGATTCGCAACGGGTTAGGAAAAAGTAATCATTCATTATACTTATAGGATGTAGAATGTGTGATGCGTATCGCGCGTAACGGCACGCAGTATCGCGGCGAGCTCGAAAATTGCGCGGCCGTGATTGCAGTTTCGAAACTGCTCGATTTCTTTTCCGAGATTGGCCCGAAGCTGCTACTGCTGCTGTATTCGATGCATTCGCCTGAGGCCTCTGTCTTTCTCTCTCCCTCTCTCTCTTTGTCCTGAGATGCTAACATGAGATTTCCGTTTCCACGATACGCAATAATGGACAGTAACCCGAGGCCTTTTCAGGTTCCCGCGCTTGGCGCAAAAGCGGGAACCGTATTTAACGAAAAAGTCTTTCATAATATTAGAAGAGGTTCCTCATTTCTTCCCCTCTCTCACTTACGCTTCATTTTCTCTAAATTTCACGATTTACGAAACAAACTCCTAACAAGTTAGTGAGAAACAAGTAATTCCGTACTTAACAAGTCGTTATGCAACTCTTATAGCATATATGTGTAGCATCTATAGGCATAGATTAGATTGTTTTATCTGAGACGGCAGAAGTTCTTTGATCCTAAAAGCGTTTTCTTCTATTAGAAGACATATTCAACATAATATAATGTTATCACGATAATAATATGAGAATCAAAACACGAAATGGTCTAACAAGTTGAGTTAATTTTAAATTTTTATCTGCTGTGTTGCAGGCAACAACCGCGAGTGGATACTTCGAGGTGCAGATCCTCTCGCTGACGAACAACAGGGGCACCCTGGTGGACGGTAGATGTTGCGGCGGGGGAGGCGGGGGCGGAAAAACAGAATTCCCGCCCTGCACGACGCCCTGCTCGACAGCCTTCTGGCTCTGCCTCAAGGAGTACCAGTCGAACGTCACCGCCATCGGCTCCTGTAGCTTCGGCAACGTATCTAGTCACGCCCTCGGCCCGAACACTTTCACCCTCACCGACCCCGTCACTCTGCAACTCCACTTTACTTTCCGATGGACGGTGAGTCGTTATTTCGCAACAGCCTACAGCCTCTGAGCTTCTGTTTTTTTAAGCATTAATTGTTATTCGCATTTTCCCCTCATGGTGCAATATAAACGTTGCGCAATCTCATGTTAAAAAGATTTCGCGAACATGTTCGATATTTAATTTTGATTTATGAGTATTACTATGACAAGTACTTTCTCATTTATGACGTTCGCTAATATTGTTTGTTTAATACGAATTCAATGTTGACGCTGTCAGATGAGAAATCAGACAATCGCATTTAATCGCTAAATACACGTCGAGAGGCAGTCCGAGAGTCGTTCGAGTGCCGAAACACGCGCGGCACTACCTAATATCCGTGAGAACGCGCGAACGTCGGCTGAAAATCCCAACCGGTCGCCGTTACACCGCGCGTATAACGCACGAGGCGACGAGGCTTAATTCGATGTCCCGCGATTAATGACGCCGCACGGTGTACATATATACGGGACCGTAATTTTGTTTGGTCACCGGCACAATGAACGTCGCGCCGAAAGACGAACGGGCGGAGAGGATGAAGTCGTAACGAGGGGACGACACATTCGGGCTTACGAATCGGCCGCCACTAGGATCATTTATCATCGACGCCGTGACACGACGCCGACGGAGAACGGCGGCGTCTCATTAGCGACGCCGCCCCCGGGGGCCACTGTAAATATATGTATGTAGGTGTGTGTATGTGTGGATATACCACGGCGATTACCTTCTTTTCCCGTTTCGAGCTCCCATTCTCGAAATCGCCGAAAGCTGGCCGAGTGTGAATCGCGAATGGCGAACGGCGCCGCTCTTTCGCAACGTATAAGGCTAACGACCAGCGGCGAGTAAGAGTCCGTGCGCTTATAACTCGCATTATATCGCCGGTCGGATGAATCGCGAATTTCTAGCCCCCGATTTCCTTTGTCTTACACGGCGAGAGAGAGAGAGCTATCGAATCCGCGCGAGGGATTTCCGGTCCGCTGGTCTCCCATCCGCGCGAGTCGTTGCGTAGAATTCCAGTTTGGTTCCAGTCGCTTGGCAACTCCTCATCGTCAGTTCCTCCATCTCTCCCGCTGCGTTCCTCTTTCTCACCACGCTCTCTCGGTGAACTCTCGCTGCGAAATTTTTACGATCGTTCACCCACGTTGAATTTACCTTGTCGCTTTTATCCGCGGCACACGGAATCAGTTCGCTCGACTGTGAAGAGCCGACGGTTTTACATACGAATTTTGTAATGCTCGAAAATCGCGAGTTTTCTACAAGGTGTCACGCCAGATAATTTCGCGAGATAATTGTCTCGTATTTAAAAGATAATGAAGGAAAGCGTGTAGAAATTATGCGACTTGAAAAATAACATTTAAATAATTGCAACGTTAACGTAAAACGCTCTATCTATTTAAATAATTATGTACATTATCGTGCACTAGAAAAATTCCCGTCCTTCTTGGGAGCCGGGAGAGTCGTCTTGTCGGTACCCAATTAGTAGCGCACCACCTACGACCAGACCGCCGTCGTCGTCGTCTAACGTAATTACGGCATAATGTACGAGCGATTTCGATGCCCAAACAGTCCTCTCAAGTGATGCCTGGAGTGCGCAGGCGAGGCGTGCCCTCGCGAGACCGGGTATACTCACAGGACCGTCGAAAGTGCCTCCTTCAGACGACGATGGGTTCGGTGGGTGCCTGACGGGTCCTGAAGGGTACCACGCTCGAGTAAAAACGCACCCGTTGTATCTACCTACACGCGTCCGCGTCGTCGTGAGTTGTTTGAAGAGCGCCAGTCTTTCTGTTTGTATATTTCATAACTCGCTCGCGGCTATCTTCCGAGAGGCGACCCATCGCGCGACAAAGGGGCTCTAAGGCCCTGTTCTCTTTTTCTGTTTTTTCACCTATTTCTCTCTCTCTCTCTTTTCCTCTCTTCTCGAAGAACCGCCGCCACGACGAAGGGTATAAACAAAAAAACCCTTAAATTGCTTCCCTTTCGTGAAGTATTTCTCCTCATCCCGCTTTCGACGCGCTACCTTCGATCATTTAGCGCTTCGCCGGTCTAATTCAATTATGCCGTTGCTGCGTAATAAAGAAAAAAATATATATGGAAAGCATACAGGTGCGCGAGAATGTGGGCATGTTTGCGCACAACGAAATATACGTCGAAATAAGGGGTCGAAGGGGAATAAGAGGCGCGGAGAGATAAAAGCCCGGATGCCTCGGTATCTCGCGTACTCGTGCGTCGTGAATGTAATAGCCATAGAACGGTTTTCACGTGGTACCCACCGTGGAAAACGGTAAACTGCCTGACTTTCATCGTCCTTCCGCGGATAATGCCGTCATTATCGTGTCCGCTGATTGAATACGGTATATATAATCTCGTCCTCTCGACCAGGCACCGAGACACGTCGAGTGAGCGGCGAGCACTCGCAGGCGCGCGCAGGCTACCGAATGCCACCTGCGCTTAGCGAGAGGCTGGCTTGAGAGAGCATTCGAGAAGTCCTCCTCTCTTACCAATACAAATCCTACGATTCCCATCTTATAATTCTCATCCGAACGAAGTCGGTGCCTTGATCGCGCGTCCATTCGCGAAGATTTTCAATATAAAATCGCTCGTTTCGCGCTCGAAATCGAAAAATAATTTGTAAACGATTTCTCGACTTTAACGCGCGCAAACCAGTCGCGCGTACGTGCGAAAATTGCGATTCAAATTCGTAGAGTTTCATACACGCGATACTCATCACGGTAAAATAATTGGATCGTTGAGTCTAACAGATGAAGAAACATGGTATAATGGTTAGACGTTACTGATAGTTTCAGATACTAGGCCATCCATCTATATAACTTTCAATAAGTTACATATGCGGATATCGCCGGCAATTGCAAGAGTTTTCTAATAGCGACCTAGTTTACGCGAACGTGATGCGGTCGCGATAGCAACAACGTCAAACATTGTAATCGTTCGTCGTCGCCGTCGCCGACTTTCCCTGCTTCTAATTTCAATACCAATGTAAGGAATACGGGATGGGATAGGCATATATATATCTCTCTCTTTCTTTTTCTCTTTCTCTCTCTTTCTCTCTCTCCTATCTTCGGCGATCGCATAATAGCACGGGAAGCGATCGGCGAGATGAGAGAATATACGGTCGAGCTTTTACACAATCCACCTCGGAGCTATATGCATCTTCGAACCAAGTGTGCTCCGTGTCTCCTTTCTCCGGCCACACATCTCCTCGTGACTCGATCTCTCCTTCTCTCTCCTTCTCTCTTGTTCTCTGCGAATCGTTCTCCCATCTTTTTCCCCTTATCCCCCGTTCGTTCTCGATAATTTCTCCTTGTCGTTCGACCGTTGCCAATGCGACTCTATATGAACTCGACTATACGATTCACATGCGGTGGTGCGCGTATACATGCGACCTGTCTGCGCATTTTGTATGCAGCGGCACGCACGACTGGCCGGTTGTGTTGAACGCATCGGAACACATACAGATACCCGCGCATACAATGTCTGCAATCGGGGCGCCACTATGAATGGTGGAGCATCACGAGACGCCGCCGCTGGATCCACGTGGACGCTGTAGAATTGTCCTCTAAAAATAACGCGCGTACCAAATGACTGAAATAGTTTAGCGATTTCTTTTGTGGTTTTAGTTGTGCCACGGTTAATTGATATATTACGTAAAAGGACAGCTAGTTGTAAATTTGCGATATGCGCAATGGCTGTCTCGACTGCGGAAAGTTTCGACTAAAATAGAGGTTTCAATTATGAAAATTGTCTCTTAAGTGTGGCATTGGCGTACAGTTAGGCGAAACACAAAAGAGAAAGAGTCTCTCCGAATTGAATTGGAAACCGTGTGTGTCTACATACGGCACGTTTAATCCTCTTTCCTCGTGATTAATTCCGACAATCGTAGTTTCGATAATGGACATATAATGATAAACGATGTTCTCGGCCGAGCGGCATTCATCACGTAAGAGGCGGCGGCGGTCGGCAACAGGAACGGTGGGGAGCAGAGAGAGGAACGAAAATGAAGGAGCCCGTTCGAAGACGCGTCGCGGGAACGCCACGGGGATCGAATGACGTGAGTCAGGGGGCCTAACAGGTGTACATCCGCGTCTCGAAAACGAGCCCCGCGGCCTTATAAGCGTTTTCCATTCTCGCCGATATCTTCGTTGCCTACCTTTCAACCTACCACGTGTTTTAAAACTACGAGCACAATTCGAAATTGACTCTTGTATTCTGCTTTTCTTTCTCACAAGGGAACGTCCCTTACCGATTTTTACGAGTTTTGGATATACCCGCGCGTAAAGTACACACGTATTTTTTTAATCGGCTTCGAAACATGGTCAAGGGTTGAAAGAAATTTCATATATTTGATTACGAGTGAATATCTCTGAAACAAAATATTATACTTTTTCAAAAATAACATTGAAGAGTGGAGGTATATTGAAATAGTTATTTGTGTAATAAATGCTGTAAGGTGGAAATTGGACGTGCGGAGTGGACGCACGAGCCGGAGGCGAGTGCGATCACCCGCACGTCCAATTTTCAACTTAACACACGTGTTACACACCCTATTTTATGTTGCAAGTGCGTGGAAAGTGGTCTATCACGCACGCGTCGCGTGCGTAATGGGCCACTTTCCATGCACGTGTGACAAAATATTTTTTAAATATTTTAAAATGTTTCTTTGAAGCTTATGGAAATAAATCTTCAAATTATTTATCTCTTATTTTTGTGTCATTAATATCGAAAGCTGAAACCATTTCTACTAGTTATTAAACATAATAATACAGTTACAATAATCTGTACTTTACAAGGAGACAACTTTTAGCGTTTTGTTTCGTCTAATGCCGCTCGCAGAATCGCCGGCTGCGCCATGCACAGCCGCTGCTCGCGCCGTGCACTTAATAGCGTCATGAATAAGCTGCGCTAAGCCCGCGAGCGGCACCTACGGTTGTTCAAATATATTAGTGCCGTTAATACGCGACGCTAACGCGAATAATGAATAA